CTCGTTCATGAATAATTCTTTTTCTTCTGTTTTTTTTTTGTTGCTTTATAGTTCACTGGCTTGAATACCCGGCTACACCCGGTTGGTTTGACTTAAATTTTGTTCTTGATTCTTAACTGAATTCTCTTTTGGAAGAGACACAGTTCAGCTATTTAGATTATTAATACAAAAATAAAGTTTCAATGCTTCAAAGAATGAGTACCGTCTCTTTTTCAGCAAACTAACACACACCTTTATATCAATTTTCAGGCTTGAAACGGAAAATAGAAAATCATAAAGCAATAAAAAAGTAGGCATTGCTTTAAACAAAACTCATATTCGTTGTGATAGCGTTGCTCACCGCTTTTTCTCCAGAGTAAGAAATGAGAAAAATCGCTTTAGACAATGGAATCTATCAGATTTGAAAACAGTTATCATATTCCTAATCAGCGTATAAATCTGTCTTGGTACATCAACTCACTCAGAATGAAAAGCGAAAAATCAGTAATCAATAAAATCGACCGATAGGTATTGTATATTATCGAATTTCTATAGCATACCAACTTACATCAGCACACCAAGTACCAGTGCCACCAGCGCAAAAATTCAGTAACTAAAATCCAAATCAGCACATCATCTTACCCTTACAAATTCCTAACAATTTAGAAAGAAAACAGCGCGAAAAACCATAAAACAATGAAATAAATGGATGTTGTACACACCAAGTCCTACTTTACCTGCGGTGCGCCGAGCAATATGTAATATTTGAAGTTTGCTTGAATTGGTTCAAAATCAAAATTGTATTAGGGATATAAAAACACACACACTGATGACCTAGAATATATGAAAATAAGGAATTATGATCAAATATGTTTTTAGTAAATCTGCATGCAAAAGTCGTATTCTCATTTCCACTGATTTCTTGTGAAAAAGTTATTTTTTGAGGTATCGCTATTTCGATGTAATTCTCGAGTAAATGGGGTCTCATGCAAAAAGCTCACAAAAAGTGATTTTAATCAAGGTAAGCATGATGCTTTGGAGGTTGGCACATAACGAACCTATAGAATGAGTTGATAATTGTAAGAGTGAATTAATTCGATCGTTCGATGAATGTGAACAAGTTCAAAAACATGATTCTTGATGAAGCTGAGTCAAGTTCCAAAAAACACCTATCATACTATCATTTTTAAAAATCTAAAGCTACAAGATTTTAAAATACTTTTCAAAAATACTTTCTTAAAAAGCTTTTCAAAGCAATAAAGATGAAATTGATTTGGCTCAATGCTGCGCTTGTTTTTTTACTGAGCGGAGTCAGACACCACTTCTGGGGCCGGATTCATCATTGAATTTACCTAGGGTAAATGAGGCCACGCCCCTACCTTAGCGATGTATC